AAATTAACAACGTGGAAAAGCTGTAAATATAATACCAGGGTTGCTCTGACTTGAAAAAAATTGTAATTAAAGACTGTTGATTTTGGTAAATAAATCATTTTATGTATGTAAAGAAGATTTTTAAAACTAATTTGTGGAAAGTGAAGTAAAATTAAGTGACGAAGCGACGGCTTCCAAAGTAAAGTGAAAAACTTCAATTGAAGTGACGCCGACAGCACTGAGTAGTACAGTACAAAGCTAATCGCTTAGTAAACGTGCTCACTGAAGATGTTTACTAAGCGCGCATTCACTGAATTAACCGTTCTTTCTATGTTGGATTAGGTGGTGACATGTCCAGTTATTCCGAAGTGATTCGTGGATGAGCTACTGTTGTTAAATTTTTGTCGTATTGAAGGACTCATACAGTCGATTGTTGTTTAATATAGGCTTGTTATTAGGGTGTTCGATTCTTCGCGTATTTTCCAAAACCGGTCTTCGAGTTATTCGAAAAATTGCAAGTTGTAAAAAACCGGCTGCCGATTTTGAAGTAAAGAAAAAAAACATTATCAGGTTTTATTTTAAATGTTTTTATAAGTGAAGTGCTTAAGTGCTTATGTTGGTACGAAGTCAAGACCAAAATATTACAATAAAACTTCTAACAGTAAAGATAACTTCTATTTAGAAAAGAGCGAAGCAAAATAAGTTCAGTGTTTTTTAAATCAAAAGTAACAGATATATATTAAAATCAGCGAAAAATTAACGTTTTGTCTAATATAAACTTGTTTTTAATACTTTATGGCATTTTTTCTGACTATCGATTTTGAGTAGTGGCTTTGCCGCCGTTGCCGAGTGCTCGATGTGCCTACTGCCACAGGTTCAATTTCTGGTCCCAGCAGCATCAACAAAAAGTATTTTCAAATATCGGTCACCCCACGATTGTACTTCTGCCATAAAAAAGCTTCTTCGATGCTGGAGTAAAACTGTTGATCTCTCCATTTGTGTCCCAACATCAAGAAGCAGAACACGAATTGGAAGAGAAGCTCGGCCAAACACGTAGAAAGGGTTTAAGTGCCAAACATTCATTTATTCGAATCAAATTTGATATATTTTTTATCCCCAAATAACCTAGGATACAATTTTAAAACTAATTAGGGGTTTCCATTAAACTGAAAAAAGCCTTGAAAACTTCAAAAAACTCAGAACTTTTATTGAGAGGTCAAGATTTGTATGAAATGAAAAAACCGGATTGTTCGTAAAAAAAATCAAGATATCCAAATCAAAGATTATGAATAAAGATATCCAAAAAAAGACCGCTGGAAACCGGTTTAAAAAAATCGAGTCAATCACCCTAATTTTTATGCATATATCCATGATTCGTCGCCTGTCACGATCTTAAAGACGCCTTTTGAAGCATTTATTTGCACCAATCGACACGAGTTTTTTTCAGCGATTCTAAGATTATGTGGTATTCAACGAAAGCAAATTTTTTTTGACGGCAAAATGTGCATGTAATATTCAATTAATGTAAGTTGAACTAATGCGCAAGCATGCCCCGATTTCAGGGTATGTCACATGACCTCCTTGGAATATCAGTTAACGCACTGCATCGATGTTTTCTGGAACAACAGTCGATTTGGGGTGGCATTCATGAAATTCGTCCTATAGCGAAGTGCAACTAGGATTAAATACGGCTGTTCAAAAATTTTAATTCTCTAACATGAAAAACTCGTAGGATTTGTCCATATTCACATTAGTGTCAGCGTATCTAACAACTTAAGTAGCAACCCTCGTAATAAGCTGTAACTGATTTACTTTCATACGAAAACAGTTGTCTGTAACGCTATTTATAATTATTTTATGAATTTGTAAGCATTGTTTGTGTTTTATGTTTTTATGCTTCATTAATGCGTAAAAATATAAAAAATTTATGTAAAGAGCAAAAACATTCTATCTAAAATCAATTCATCGCAGCTGGTCGCTTAACACGTGATTGGCATACTGTTTTCGCAACAAAACAGTTTTTTCGTAAAACTCATAAACATATTTTTTTGTTTTGTTTACTTTTACACATTGCAGGCGACATTAGTGATTTTTTTATTTTTATAACTTATTAACTACTATTTTTAGCTCCATAAATCTTGTTAATAGCCAGCATTATTTCAATGCCTGAATGGAATTTCAAATGGATTATTGAAATGTAATTCAATATGACAAATATTTCGTTGGATTATTTTGGAGCTTTAGTATAAGTACAAACATACATATGGGCCATTCCATTGTGACTGGTGGGTCATTTTACTCCAGAATGTTATCAATTGTGAATTATAACTATGTCGTCGGAACTTATACAACAGTGAATGATATTTTTAACATACATAGATGAATCACTAATGTATAAAATTTCCTTCAAAAAAATACCACACGATTTATTATTTCTATGTAACTATCACTTGAATGAATGTGACTGGTGGCACACTGAAAATAACTATATTTTATTTACTTTTGTGCCCGCAAAGACGAATTTTAGCCAAAATACTTAATTTTGAATCCAGATTTTTTTGTTGTAAAATATATACTATTTGTACAAATTTTGACAGTTGATTTACAAAGTGTACACAATTAGAATTCTGTACGGTTTACATATATATATAAATTTATATATATTATTTTTCATTACTGGCAATTTTTTGAATGTACCTACGGAGCATGGTCTAAACACATTCCTAGACGCTCTTAATGCTTTCAATCAATCACTTTAAATAAAGGTATACCGTTTCGTGCAGATAAGCGCAACACTTTCTGAGAGAGTTGCTTCCAGCGAACGATCCTTCTTAAGCATAAAATTATATTTACGAAGTAAAACTGGGGTATAAAGATTAAATGGTCTAGCTTTTCTTAACATCGACAGAGATATAGAAGTTACGAACGAAGAAATATTGAATACAATTTTTTCTTTTAAAGACGAAGCAGTTATTTCTAATTTTTTCACGCATACATATCGCACACCTTCTTCAAAAGGGCACAACTCCAAATTACACGTTCGTCAGAAAATGCGTAAAACTATTTCTTAGCACATAATAATTATGTATATGGGCAACGGAGACTTTACATTGGGCTTTTTTTTAACAATTATAACAAAAATTGCTCTGGCTTTTGCTGAAAGGTAAATAAAAGCTCTATTTACAGTTGTAGTGCATAATTTCAAAAATGCCAAATTTTGAGTTTTGCCTCTTTTGAAGACGGTGTACGATATGTATGTAAGCACCGGAAACTACTTAAAAAAATTAAATAAAGTCATTTTGGAACACCGAAACGCATTTTTGGGGGAACTGATTAAATCGAAAACAAATTTTTTTAAACAAACAACCCCCTCCCTCCCCCATGAAAAAAATGTCTGCTTTCGTCCCTGTTGTACATATGTAGATACACGTCGTCGATTAAAGTATAAAACCTCGTATCGTCGTTCTGCAAAACCTCGTAACTGACATTTGTGCCAAAAAAAAGATATTTGCTCGCCGGAAGCTCCTGGCATCAAGCAAGTTTTGAAAAAGCACTCCCTCCTACAAAATCTTGGCAATACGAGGTTTTGCATTTTCTTGATTCGCGGTTTTGTACTTTAAACAGGACGACGATAGGTATGGATCTGTGGCAGTGTTACCACTCAAAAAAAAATTTTTTCCTTCCATGATTGATACAAAATAGCTCAGCCTACCAAAATCTGACTTTCATTGAACATGTGATTTAAATATTGTAACATATGTAGGAAAATAAAATAAAATTTACTTGTCCATAATTTGTCTTCGTGCGCAGCTCTTTTTGGATAAAATTAAGACAAACGCGCGAACTCAAAGTCAAGCTTTGAAAATTACATGTTTTTACTTTTGCTACACAAATTATTATCAATATTATTTTCTGAAGGGAGAAGAGGGAAAGAAAATACAAATACTCTCCCATCTCACTCACACGCTTTAGCGAAATGTAAAATTTGACATTTGCATAACAATTGTGTAATTATTTTCTTCTAACTTGAACAATCTGTATGGATTGGAGCAGAGCTTCTTAAAGTGGGTTTCGTAAAAAATTCACCCTGGTTCCGCGAAATTCATTTTGGTATGAATAAGCACGGTGGTCGGGTTGAGTTACACACAGGAAGAAAATTTCTGTAAACAGCTTGAGCGAGACGCAATTATCTATTTTCAAGTATATGTACATACATATGTAGTATGTAGGGTGTGTTCGATCTATGGAATAATTACCGCAATATTGCAGACTTGTTGCTTTCCTGATTACATGTTGCTGATGCTCAACTGAAAATTTTCTAAAATATTGCAGAAATTGCGCAGTAAAAATTTTTATGTTGCTTTTGATTTTCCAATGATGAGTAACTGATTGTCAAAATTTTGTTCCTCGAACGTTGATGCAAGCAGAGTCACCTAAATTTTCGCGTAGAACGTGATACTCTTTCATAAAAAGTAACACTGCCGCATTAAAACAAATTTATATACATATAATACATAACAATATAAAAAAAAAACGTAAAATGTAGTCTCCAAAAAAAAAAATCTCAAAAATCAATGCGATTTTTTTGCCGGTTGAAACATGCACTTCATGAGATTGGAATTATATGGGCTATAAAACTGCATACCCAAAAATGTTCTAGGGATTCAGATTAAAAAGTTTAAATTTTGATGAAAGTTTGTTGAATTTTCGTAATGTTGGACAAAGTTTAAAACTTTGATTGTTATGTTTTGAGGTAAAGCTTGGACGATATTTTTATAGAAAAATAACAAAAAAATAATAATAGCTCGAAAAACATAATGAATATTACCAAAAAATCAACACGTAGTCATTTGTTTGAGTCACTGTAAACTGTAAATATGTATATGTATTAGAATACAAATCAATAATTTTTAATGTTGAGCATCAACAGAAAATTATAATTAATTTAATCCTTTGTTCTCAATTTTTAATTTTAGTGTAAATCCTATAGACATCGAGCGCATAATCCTGCAGGAGACAAAAATTTCGCGTGACCATTTAACCCCAGAGATAGCACTTTACCTCATAACGCCTGATTGTCGACTTTTCAATGAACCAGTTCCTTCAATTGACTCCTCCATAATGTTTAAGACTGACCCCTTTTGGGCATTTTATTGGCCCGGTGGACAAGCAATCAGTCGGTTTGTCCGTTTACAATTTATGTATTTACCCTCTTATTGCTTATCCTTATACAAATGTATGTATACATATTTACAGCTACATCCTCGACAATCCATCGTTGATAACTGGCAAGTCAGTACTAGATGTGGGCAGTGGCTGTGGTGCAAGTACCGTTGCTGCATTAATGCAAAAAGCGAAATATGTTGTGGCAAATGATATTGACGAAGGTAATTAAAAAAATAAATTAATAAAAAAAAAATAAAAAATCAACTTGGAGATGCCGGGGATCGAACCCGGGGCCTTTCACATGCAAAGCGAACGCTCTACCACTGAGCTACATCCCCTCATAGACAGTGTTTGTCAAAGTGCACATTTCTGCTATTTGTACGCGCGCTCTCATTCTCGCTGTTTTTCATTTTTTTTTAGTTGCTGGCTACGCTGCTGTACTGAACTCTCAATTGAATGACGTTGACTACACTCGTCTGCATATCTGTACGGAGAATTTAACAGCGGCAGCGCCACAGTCAATAAAAGAAGACGTAATTTTGTTGGGAGATGTATTCTACGATGAAGAATTTGCAGCCGTTTTGCAGCCTTGGTTGAAGAGTCTTCGCAACGCGGGTAAGCAAATACTCGTTGGTGATCCAGGTCGGCATAGCTTGACAGAGGACAGACGATGCGATATGAGACATGCAGCTAAATATGAATTAACGGAAAGTGGATGCATTGAGAATAATGGTTTTAAGTTTGTTAATGTTTGGGAACTGAAATAAAAGTGGGAAAGAACTACTCGTATTAAGGAAGAAAATTATTAAAAAAGTATTAAATTTTTTTTTTAGAAAAAAAGTTCTGGAAAAAGATAAAAATTTTTTTTTAGAAAAAAAGTTCTAAAAAAAATGAAAAAAAATCGACTTGGAGATGCCGGGGATCGAACCCGGGGCCTTTCACATGCAAAGCGAACGCTCTACCACTGAGCTACATCCCCTCGTGGCAGCTCGCTGGCCAACGACTAACTTCATAACGATTAGAAAATTTACCTACGTAAATGCGTTGCTAATTAAAGGTGTCTGCAATTATAAATATCGTCACCTAAAATGCAAAAAGACGCAACAAACATCATCGTTGAAATGCAAAAAGTCATACAGCACTATACTATACATACTAACAAAAAATTCAAAATTCACTTTTTGATTTACACATATGATGGATTTCATCGAATTACAACTCCCCACATCATTTTATTAAAAAAAAAAAAATAGTCTAGTCACGACTTTTTCCATTTCATTTACGATGTTGTTACGTCTTTTTGCATTTCAGTTGACGATATGTAGGTACATATGTACCTGTTAAAGCGCTGCTTAAGTACGCGTAATTTGTTCATTCTACTTTCATGTTGAATATTTAATTACATGACAGGTGATAGCACGAGTCGAGCACATGGCGCATATTCGCTTATTGCCACAATATCATGTAATACGTATGTACATACATACGTATTTATGTACATACATATGTTCATACATAATAAGTACAGTCACACTTCCATATCTCGAGTCACCATTATCCAACGAAAAAGTTCGAGTTACAGAATTTTTTTTATATTTACATACATATTAATTCTTTGTTGAAAAAGCGTTTACAATTGTTTTATTAATTTATTCCAAATCAAGTCCTACATAATTAAGGGATTCACAAGACGTGTTAACCGTCGTAAAATCTTAAGGTTAACATCTTTATACCTTTCATGAGCATGAAATGGTATTATAACTTTGGTCCGATGTTTGTAAGTACCAGAACAAAAAGAGATAGACCCATGAAAATGTATACTTATATGATCAGAACGTCGAGCTGAGTTGATTTAGCCATGTCCGTCTGTCCGTCTGTCCGTCTGTCCGTCTGTCCGTCTGTCCGTCTGTCCGTCTGTCCGTCTGTCCGTCTGTCTGTCTGTTTGTATGCAATCTAGTCTCTCAGTTTTCGAGGTATCCGGATGAAATTTGGTAGGTGGGTGTATTTTTATAATGTATTAATCATTTGTCGGAACCGGAAGAATCGGACCACTATAACATATAGCTCCCATACAACTGATTGTTCAGATATAAGATTTTTCATTATAACTTCGCCATTTATGCAGCTACGAACATGAAATTTTGCAATACTTGCACCCATTATCAACAGAATACTTATAGTGAAAATTACAAAGATCGGGTCACTATAACCTATAGCTCCCATACAACGGATTGTTCAGATATAAAATTTTGCGTTATAACTCCTCCATTTATATAGCTAGGAACATGAAATTCCGCACTGTTTTCAATAATTATCTACAGAAAAGTTACCGCGAAAATTAAAAAGATCGGGTAACTATAACCTATAGCTCCCATACAACTGATTGTTCAGATATGAGATTTTTCGTTATAATTCATCCATTTATGTAGCTAGGACCATGAAATTTCGCGCTGTTTTCACTCATTATCAACAGAAGACTTACCTCGAAAATAATAAAGATCGGGTCACTATAACCTGCAGCCCCCATACAACTGATTGTTCAGATATGAGGTCTTTTATCATAACTCCTCCATTTATGCAGCTACGAACATGAAATTTCGCACCATTTTCACTCATTATTAACAGAATACTTACAGTGAAAATAACAAGGATCGGATGACTACAACATATATCTTCCATACTTCTGATTGTTCAGATATGGGATTTTACTGTAAAACTTCTTTATTTGAATAGCTAAAAGCGATAAATTTCGTAAGATATTTTATAAATAATAATACAAAGTCTACTGTGAAAATCGTCAAAATCTATGCTGTATAAGCTTTATCTCCTATAGCACTGATTGTTCAGATACCAGTTTTTGCGATATATCTTCTTTATGTAGGAAACTAAACCCAATAAATTGTGTTACCGGTTTACATACCGATCACATAGCAGTGAAAATCACTTAGATTGGTGCTAATATAAGGTATATCTTCAATACCTCTGATTGTTCAGATGCGATTTTTTATATAGGTATGGAACTCCTCTATCGATGTATGCAGATGTATTCAAAAGCAGTAATCTGTCAAAGTAAAATTTGTAGATGTTCATGAAAGGTATGAAGCCTTCGGCATAGCCGAAGACAGCGCTGCTCTTACTTGTTTTTAATTAAAATGGTTTTAGGGGATTTCTAACTAAACCGAAATTCTGTTAAACTGATAAAGAACATATAATTAGCCAACCCCCCAACCATTTTAACCGCTATTTTACATAAACAAGTGTTAAGCTTAAGATTTTACGACGGTTAACACGTCTTGTGAATCCCCTAAATGTTTCAGTGAATTAAGATATTCAGAAACAAATGAAGTGAAAACGCTTTCTCTTCAGCTCTGTTTCAATATTTGCACATGACACTTGTGATAAAATTTAAAGTGAACTAATGAAGCAATATTTTTTTTATGCAGCATTTTGAAGAAAAAAAACTTTAAATTTACCGATGGATTGTTTTTCGTAGGTGATCATTTCGTTTTCTGACGCAGAATTGGAACCAATTTGGTTTATTTTAGGGTCAGTTTTTGGACTTTAAACTGCTCTGGCAACTTATATTTTGCAGATACTACTTTCATTTTCGGAATATATGTTCTTTAGAGTTAAAGAAATATTTTTGTCACAAGTTTAATATAAATTGGCCAAAAATCCAGCATTTTAAGCCCGAAAATTGTTATTTACGGAAATGTTCGAAAACCGCTTGGAATATTTTGTCTTTGTTTTCTTTAATCAAACAGCTCATGTTATTTCCTTAGGGCCGTTTTTTCGACTGCCTGCTAAAAATGTATGGCTGCTTTATCGACTTTTTATCGATTGCCTGTTAAAAGTATGTGAACGACAAATTTTACAGGCAGTCAAAGCACGGGTTATCTTAAACAGGCAGTCTAGAAAACGGCCCTTAGTTTGGCACATAGGAAGTATTGGTTGATATCTTTTAAGTATGTTCCATTTTATTAAAATATTGGTCCCCGCTTTGAGCGACGTCTAAATATTTTTTGATTTCAAACTAAAGAAGTGATATATTTTTTTCAGTATAGAACAGTCCCAGGGGGGAGAACATTGAAATTCCCACTTTACTTTTTTGGCCACCCGAATATAAATACATACCAGGGACCAGGGAAAATAAAAGTCCTTTCCTAGTAATAAACAAACCGCGTATCCAAATCAAACAAGTTTGGTATAAACTGAAAGAGGACTAAAATAGCTTTAAAACTGAAATATTTAAACGAGGAGAGGCACCAGAAAGCCAGCTATCGAAAAATATTTAAATAAAAAATGTTTTTTAATTACCATAGAACAAACTTTGGGTCAGGTATATGCATTTCTTTTGCACAAAAAAAAATATATACCATTTAAATAAGAGCAAATGGCATACCACGACTATTTTTTTTTCTTTAGTTTACATAGAGTAATTAAAAATAATTTTTAATTTGTTACCAACATAATTAATTTACCAAAGTTATATCGAAAGTTATCCACTTGATCTCCAGTGTTTTTCTAAAAAGATTTCTCTTCAATTCACAGTGGTTCGAATAGAACAAGCTAGCTGGACAAAATTATTTACCTGGATTTTCTGACAAACTACAGCCATGTAGTTGTACATTTTGTGCAATAAAATTGTTATCGGAGCTTATCGTCTAATTATAAATATATATATATATATATATATATATATATGTATTATATGTATGTATATAATGCGTGTACGACTTCGAAACCGCTAGTGAATATGATTTTGATGTTATTAACAGAAATACTCTGGCGCAATCTAGAGATGTTTCCCATTGGGCTCAAAGTAAAAGAGTTGCCACCCACCTAGAAAAAATTAAATATGTAAAATTTAAATGAAATATTACAAAATTGAGATCAAATGAAAGGTGATTGAGGAAGTCTTAATCCAAACACATTTTTTAATATGTCTTCCCCCTATAATTAATAATAAAAGAGTTGCCAGCTGTTAAAAAATTATTCTTAAAATATCAAAAACAATTGAAAAACTTTATACATAAGGCTAAATAAAAAATCAATATCATGCTGGAACAATAAAATCTTTATTAAAATTATTTACACTGTGCAAGATGAAAATTTAAGCAAAGGTTCTGATAGTTGATGATGGCTCCAGTTTTCCACATAACGGTACTTGAAAATATGCTTAAATTTTAACTTTTTTGTGAATAAATCTTAAATTGGCTTACATGCGTACATATGTATAGATGCGTTTCTGCGTTAACCACGTATTCGATTGTTCGCCTTTTTCCAAAACCGGTTTTCGAGTTATTCGAAAACTTGCAATTTGAAAAAACCCGGTTCCTGTACATAATTTTCGTACAGTGAAAGTGCTTATGTTGGTATGAAGTTTTGACCAAAAATTACAATAAAACTATCAGTAACGATAGCTTATAAGAGTAAAGCATAATAAGTTAAAATTTTTTCCTAAATCAAAAGTAAAACCAATAAAAATTTACGTTTTGTCCTATTTTAACTTAATTTAATAATTTATTGAATTTTTTCTGCCTTTTGTATGATTTCATTAGTGCTTTGACGCTTTAGCCGAGTGCTGAGTGCCTACTGCCACTCGAGAGGTCCGTGGTTAAATTTCTGGCCCCAGCAACATAAAAAAGCTTTTTTAAATAGCGGTCGCCCCTCGGCAGATACTGGCATGCCTCCGAATGTACTTCTACAAAGGTTCTTCGGAGTTGGAGTGAAAGTGTAGATCTCTTCATTTGAATGGTTGGTGTCACACTGGAACAGTGCTGCCACTGTCACTTCAATTGA